TCTCCCTCACTCGCCTTATCACTATTACACTGTTTGTCCGTCCCGTTCTCGATGCCGAAGCGGGAATTTAACTTAATATCCAGCGCGTCTGTAGGCCGCCCCGCTTTTGACCCACAATGATCGAAGCTCCTTCAGCGCATCGTGCCGGATCTCCCGCGAGCGCCTCCACTTCTACGCACTTCAGTTCTCTTCGGATTCGTCAGCGAAAATCGGAGTGCCACGCGTGGAAAAACGCGCCACCGAAAAAAACTTTACGAGCGTCACTTCTTCCAGATGTCCATCCTAAATCGACCAAGTATTTCTCGAGTGGAAGACAAAAATTTCTCGCTTTTTACCGACGAGAAAACTGTAAAGCGCGTTGTATCACTTCACTAAGAATCGAGCGACGCGACGAACCGTCGTCGCCGTTGACACGTTAGCGACAACTTTGAAATCCTACGAAGGTTCGCGCGGAGCTCCTTCCGCGGATGTCTCTCGGAAAAAGGACAATTTTTCCGAAGGGTATATATATATATATATATATATATATATACCTCTCACTGGTATAGTAAAATCCCCCAATAATCAGACAGGACGTTTTCGCCGACGGATTTTCGGAGATAATTCCTGAGATACAGACAGAAATACCGTGGCGATGTAATCGAGAGAAACTCTCGAAGGCGAGCTTCGTAATTCCGCGCGGAATGAGGTACAGTTTCTCTCCCTCTCCGATCCGCTGGTCGGATTGCTGTATCGTCGTTTTCAATTTCCGTTTTCGCCCTCCTCCCCCCCCCCCCTCTTCTCTCGTAGCTGCGAAAGCGAGCGGGCTTTCTCGGACAGTCGCAATATCACAAGCGTATCCACCGAACGATAGACGGATAAATGGATAGGAGACCTATATAGGTATCGTACTGCTCGTTCACGGTTCGCGTATGCGTATACGATCGCGTAACACGATTCGCAACACGTCGCCGATACAGTCGCGATCTCCGCAGGGAGGGATGTGCACGCGACGAAGTCGGAGGGCACTCTGACGTTCCAGCTGCTCTGTGCTGCGCTGGTCCTCGTTCGGCACAGCACGGCACGCCACGTCCGTCCTTCCTCCGTCGCGACGCCAGAACGGAGCGAGAGAGAAGGAGAGAAGGAGAGAGAGAGAGAGAGAGAGAGAGAGGGAGGGGGCCGGGAGGAAAAACGGCGAATTACGACGGTGGGCGGAAAAGCGACGGAGGAGATCGCGAGGGAATCTGAAAACGGAGACAATATGGGATGGCCGACGAGACTGTTACTCCCCGCTGTTCGCTATGGGACCATAGTCATCTCATGGTACCTAGTATCGCGCGATAAAGATGTTGCAAATTACGGGATACAAACGGGAAGGTACAAACGCGGGTGGAATAGAAACTTGCGAACCTTTTGAAAACTTTACCGATACGCCCTATTTGCGCTGCGGAGAGAATTTGAATTCTCTCTTTAAAAGAAACGGACATTGATCGCCGTTTTGATATCTTGAAGATGCGGTTCTAAAAAAATATTCTTATATTTTTATAGATAAAAATTATATTAAAAAATAGGGATTACCTTCTGTAAGATGTTCTGCTTTTTAAATGTGAAAATGCGAAAAATGTGCGAGCCTTTTTAAACCGAAAAGAATATTATTTCTGCGATGTTTCCTCCGTGCTAAAGAGAAATAATTTTAACTCAAGCGATCTTATGGCGTATACAATCCGTAAACATTGAGATAAGTGAAACACTTTTCTTTTTGAGAATTTCTTCTTTTCCTCACGGATTTACTTCTTAAGAAATAGCAGATAATTTGCCACAGAGACGAACGATTCTCTCGTAGCCTGTTGCTACGATAAAGCGACAAATTATGAGAAATTGATACTAAATTTTTAAATTAACATTTAATACTAATTAATTTCCTTATATAATTCTAATTTCTGTATGCATACAATTTCATAATTTTTCATATGCTTATATAATACTAATTTTTATATATTTATATCATTCTTTATTCGACAAATGCACAGATATATGGGAGAGGAAAAAGATTACATGTGAAAAGAAAATTTCACGAATATTTCGAGCTTTACAGTTTCCTTGAAAACTTCTCCTTGAAACTTCCTCTTTCGAGTTTCCACAATACCATCGGGATCATATCGACCGCGCCAAATATCTTACACCCCAAATCGTACTCATAGTGCCACAATAGCCGAATCGGGAATTTCTGCTGGGCAAGATAGGGCTTTGAATTGACCGACACGTTAATGTTTCACGTCTTATTACGCGTTATCGTTCTGAAAAGTAGAAGAGCAGAGGATCATTATTGTCGCGATTGAAAATTACGCGATGATATTAATTTTGAAAAAAGTATCTGAGACGTAGCCGTGACTTTCACACCTCTGAAATATATAATAATAAGAAAAATCGGATCTTTCACGGGAAAATCAGTTTGAGATCTTTTTTTTTTTTAGGAGGTCGATCTTTTTAGAGAATCATAACAACCTTTATGAAGCTGTGGTAAAATAGAAATCGATTGATTTGCATACCTTTTGAAACTACCTTTTAAAAGTACGTTCAGTTTTGGTGCTGCTGAGAGAATTTAAGTTCTCTCTAAAACAAAAAATTAATCGTCATTTTATTTTATCTTAAAGAGACTGCGTCGATCATTTTATATATTCTCTCCGTATATACATATTTATCTTCCTCTATTTATTTGCATAATTTATCTTTAAAGTGCATGGTTGTGATTTTGCAAGTCCAGAAAGATTTTTTGTTCCCGGAAAAAGTCTTTCGCATTTACACTTTTGCATTTACATTCTTTTGCTTAGACGCGCAAATATTCCTCTTTGTAAACCTTCTCGCTTCTCTTTTATATATATAAATGAATGAATAGTCTCTCGTAGTTAATACATGTCTAATTGCGAAATCTAAGAGTGACAAGAAGTATCTCAAGAACGAAGTTGTAATCGTTAAAACCGACAATTTCATGGTTTGCAGAGCACAAAATTCAGCGAGATGAAAAACGCGGGAAAACGCTGGATCCGCAAAGAGATGTGTGAGCAATAATAGAGAAATGAGAGAGGAAGAGAGCATTGTACCGGAAACGGCAAAGAGGAGGATAGAGCTCGTGAAGCTCTGCAGACAAGACGATAAGACGATAAGAGAAACGAGGAACGGGACGCGGGGAATGAACTGTGTCCATCGCCATCGTGGCGACCGCATCGCTACAATGAGAGTTTAATTCGTTCATTGAAACCGCCGTATGGCGCAGTCCGCGTGCTGCCATCGTTGATAGAGTAGCAACGACGAGTTCGTGAGCACCCGACTCTGCGAGCCAAGATGTCTGGAATGAGGCAAAAGTGCACTATGTATGCCACGAGTAGCGATGTAAAGTATCTGGGCAGGTACATGTCTCTTCTCAAGTTTTTCCGCTCTCACTGGCGGACCACGGGAGATCATAGAGGCCATGCAGTTCTCGTTTTTGATCTCCTTTTTTAAAAATATTTACAGCAAAATGTTATATATATTTTTTAAATGCTCACTCACAATTTTAATATTCTAAAAATATTTTTTAATTTAAAAAGAGATCCTAGATGTAAAAAAAATATATAGATTTTACTAAAAAATTTCACTTTATCTGAATCAGTGGTCCCATTGACAAATTTCTGGATTCGTTAATGCCTGTTCTCCACACGCCTGCGACGTACAAGTAAAATACTTTTTACGTCGCTTAAGAGAGTAAAACGCGTTTACACACGCGGAGTTCATTTATGTTTAATATTAGGTGTAGTAAAAAGTCATCGCGTATTTTTAAAAGACATCTATCAGTAAAAACCGCAATTACTTTCTTACCAACAATATAAATATATCTTGATAGAGTAAAGTTTCAGCTTTAAAAATCTCTTTTTTAAATTATACGATACGACAATTTTTAATGGAGTTATGAGCAATTAAAGTCAAAATAATTCTTTTATTTAATCCGCGATAACTCAGTAATCAAAAGTCGTAGGAATATTAAAAAAAAACGATTTTGTAGGGAAAGTATCAAGCTTTCACGATAGGTAATCGAAAATTTTCTCAAATTCGTTTTGGACACGTTACAAATCCACAAAGTGAGAAGAAAATTTTTCGTCTTTTTCAGCTCGTAGTTTTTGGTATGTAAAAATTATCAAACTCATATAAACTTAAAAAATGTGATAAGCTTTTAAAAGTAGAGATTTCAAGCTTTAAAACCCTTTTTTTAAATTTGAATTTTATTCATTATTGACGAAGATATTGTATATACAACTTTGAGCTAAAAAATACGCGATGACTTTTTACTACACCTAATATTTCCATGAACATAGACCAGGCCTGTCTAATTTGAGTTCCGAAGCCAAAACACAAAGCCATCGACGCAAAAATGGATGGAAGTTTAAATTGGACAGGCTTGACATAGACTCTCTTAGGAAACGTCGAAGACGTCATCACGTTACTGCGAGATTTAATTACGTTTTCTGCGTAGCACGAAATAATAATACGCTTTGTATTAATGAAATGGGTTTATTTTGCATTTCGTAAAGATATTAATTACATGCGTGATATAATTTAAAAGTAATATGTCAAATGTAATATTTTAGTTGAATTTTTGTTAAGGCATTTTATGTAAATAATTATTATTAATAACATTACACGATATTGACCAGTGTGCGAAAGTATAAACAAAATTCTTTATTGGATTATTAAACAAATTAACATTTCCCACAAAAATTTACAATTTATAATATTGCGAAATGTTTATAAAAATATAAAATATTCGAGATATTTGAATAACTTCAAAAATGATTTTTATATGTTATATTTTATATATA